ATGGCTAGGAAGAATCAACATTTTTAAAATGTCCATATTACCCAAAACTATTTACAAATTTAATGCAATACCTATCAAAACACCATCATCATACTTTAAAGATCTGGAAAAAAAAGTACTTTGTTTTATATGGAACCAGAAAAAACCTCGAATAGCCAAGATATTATTACTCATAAATAAAAACAAATCAGGAGAAATCATGCTACCAGATTTCAAACTATAGTATAAATCTATAGTGATCAAAACAGCATAGTATTGCCACAAAAAGAGAGGTAGATGTATGGAACAGAACTGAGAACCAAGAGATGAACCTAGACACTTATTGTCATTTAATCTTTGATAAGCCTGTCAAAAACATAAATTGGAGGAAAGAGTCCCTATTTAACAAATGGTGCTGGGATAATTGGCTGGTGACTTGTAGAAGACTGAAACTGGACCCACATCTTTCACCATTAACAAAAGTCGACTCTCACCAGATAAAAGATTTAAACTTAAGACATGAAACTATAAAGATTCTTGGAGAGAGTGCAGGAGAAACACTTGAAGAAATTGCCCCCAGGCAATTGAAGCAACACCAAAACTACATTATTGGGATCTGACAAACTAAAAAGCTTCTGCACAGCCAACAACACGGTAAGTAAAGTAAGCAGACAGCCCTCAGAATGGGAGAGGATATTTGCAGGTTATGCTTCTGACAAAGGTTTGATAACCAGAATCCACAGAGAACTCAAACTTATTAATAAGAAAAGAATAAGTAATCCCATTTCATTGTGGGCAAGGGACTTTAAAGAAGCTTATCTGAAGAAGATAGAAGCATGGTCTACACATACATGAAAAAATGTTCATCATCTTTAATCATCAGAGAAATGCAAATCAAAATCACTTTGGTATCATCTAACTTCCGTAAGAGTGGCTCACATAACAAAGCCCCAAAACTTTGGCATGGATGTGGAGAAAAGGGAAAACCTCTGCACTGGTGGTGGGAGTGCAAGCTAATACATCCCTTTTGGAAAGAAGTATGGAGAATATCCAGAGATCTAAAAGCAGACCTGCCATTTGATCCTGCAATTGCTTTACTAGGTATATATCCAAAAGACCAAAAATCACTTTATAACAAAGATATTTCCACCAGATTATTCATTGCAGCCCAATTCATAATAGCCAAGTCATGGAAGAAGCCCAAGTGCCCATCGACCCATGAATGGATTAATAAATTGTGGTACATGTACACTATGGAATATTATGAAGCCTTAAAAAAGACAGAGACTTTACTTCTTTTACGTTTACATGGATGGAGCTGGAACATTTCCTACTTAGTAAAGTATCTCAAGAATGGAAGAAAAAATGTCCAATGTACTCAGTACTATTATGAAACCAATTTACAATCACTCGCACTTTCATATGACGAATAGATCACAACTATGACCCAAGATGAAGGAGGAAGGAAGGAGAATGGGAGGGGAGGTGGGAGGTCAGATCAAAGGAGGGTGAATGGTGGGATCAGACCTATGGTGCATAATGCAAGAGTACATGTCATATCTATTAGTATAGAGTATAAATATCTTAACACAATAACTAAGTAAATGAGATGAGGTATATATTAACCAGTGTGATGTAAGCATTCCTAATTCTATATGAAATCAGCACATTGTACCTCATAAATGCATTAATGTATACATGATCTATGTGTTTATGATTTAATAAAAAGTAAAAATAAAAAAATGAAAAAATAAAATTAAAGAGAAAAAAAGGAAAAAAATTGACTGTGTTCTCTCAGTTTCCTCATGTGTGTTATTTAGAAAAATAATCACACCTATATCATAAGTTTCCTGTGAGAATTAAATAAATACATGAGAAATACTTAAAATAGTGCTAGCATGTCCTAAATGTTCAACAAATGTTAGTATCAATTTTTCTGTGTGAATCAATTCAGAGCCAATTGGTTTAAAAACAGTGATCAGAGGTTTCATGCATTCCTTCTTTCTTGGTATAGTGCTCTCCATATAGAAAACAAATATTTCAGTGTTGAATTTTTATGACTTTTTTATTATACGATGTGCGTGTGTGTGTGTGTGTGTGTGTGTGTATACCTATGTGTGTCCATCTGTGCTGCCAGAAATTAATTTATATGTACTTGTTAAATTAAAAAATATATATATTTCTATATTTCGCATCGGGGTTTGTCCTATAGCTACATATTTTGTCAATTTCCATGCTTCACTATATTATTTAGAAACATAGCAAAACCTTGGCTTCCAAGTTAAGTGAGGCAGAATAGATACTGAGAAACAGAACTACATTGTTCTTTAAAAGTACATTTTGTATTTGACTGTTGACTTAACTTGGTATTTTGCCTTTGGATACAAGAGATTATTTTTTACAGAAAGCAAGTTTTCATCATTTTGTTTTGCTGTAGTTAATAGTGTTCTGGTAAAAGAGAAAGAGATAATGATTTTAAATTGCAATGTATCAAAAAGTGGTGGCCATCAGCACTATTCTCAAGGAGGCTACTATGGAGAGCGGGGTTGGGGAAAATGTTATAATGTTTAGAGTTGTTTTAAAATTCTAGCTCAAGGACTTAGATATTGTGAAAGAAGTCAGGATGTTCCCAAAAGAATAACAGGAATGGGGAGGAAGCAACTGCTATAGACTCATAAAAGGGGATTTTTTTTCAAATGTGATTTTAATATTGGGGAAATTAAATATGCATTTTTAATTATTTGAAAATGGTAACATATTTCATTATGCTTCTAAGCACAATTTTTTTTTTGTTACATGGTTAATTTTAGTGCAATGGACCATTTTTCATCTCACAACATGCATATAAAGACTCAGTTTTGGGTGTTAGGAATTGCTGAGATAGAGATGTATTTACTCCTGGGATAGTCATCCACTTCCTATACAATTCTTATAACCACCTCACAGGACTTGAGGATTTTTAAACCAAAAAGATTAGGTTCTATCTTTCAAAATTTCCATTTATATGGATGGAGTATACAGCCTGAACAACAAATGAAAGAGAAATGCAAGAGAGAATGAGTACCGTACAGAGTGAGTTTAAAAGACCTGGAAAGTGGAGCCACTCCATTTGTCCTGCTCATCAAATGTGGTGCATCCATCAGAGGGAAAGTAACCACCAGAAACATCTGTTACCTGGGAAAGAGGAGGTGGATGTCCTACCTGAAAGCCTTGTGCCACTCACAGCTGGAGAGATCTTTCACCCACAGAGTTCCCTTGTGGTGGCATGAGTGATTAAAAATCCAAGAGAAACCATATCTTTCTGGACAACAGATTTGTAAAAGGGGGCCTTAGAAGCCCAAGGATATGGAGAGCATGAATCTTTGAGAAGAGAGAACTTTAAAAGAAAATTTTCTAATTTTGTGAGTAAATATGCATAAATTTTAGGCTTACTGTTAAGTCCATGGCTATCCATGGTCCAATTGGTATCAATGGGTCCCCTTAGACTGAAGAGTCTGAAAAATAATTGAAAGACCAATATTAGGCTTTACAATTACCTTTCTTACCTCAACTCCACCCATAAGTGATGAAGGACTGGGACGAGCTATTCAAAAGGGGAAATCTTGGAGAGTAGAGAGACCATTAGAGAAGCTGGGTTGTAAACACCCTCACTCTAAACAGTGGGCTGGGAAAAAGATGGACAAGAAAAGGTAGGGTGAAAGGATCATAGTGTCTCTGTGTGATGGCCCACACAGGTTATTTCTCATATACATGGAAAACATACCTACTTAATTATCCTGTCTTTAATTTGATGAAAAGGTAAACCAAGCTAAATAGTGCAATTAATATTATATGTACATCCAATGAAACATAGGTACAGAGGAGAGGCAGCAAAGAAAAGGCACCTGGGAAAGAATTCTGGGCCTTTTTACTCAAGTGATGGAACACCGAGGACATTTATTTGTATTTTGCTCCATTGAAATAGTATTATTATAGTGAAAGCCAAAGAAAAGCTAAACATACATCAGACAACTTATGAAAGATCCATGTTTTTAAAATTGTATTATACAAGCTATTAAATGATATGTATTATTGGACATAAAAGGACACCTACCACCTATTGTTCAATAGAAATTCAAGGTATCCAGAATTACATACAAATTGGAGCTGATTTTGTACTGTACAGCATAGAAATACATAATTTTTATTTAAATTTAATAAATTATAATTTATTAAATATTCATGAATTTCTAAATACTTAACACCCTTACAAGGTAGGTATTTCGAAAGGTTAAAGAGGGCATACAGTGCACAGATGTCTTTCTTATTCCTGTCTCCCACCCCTTTTCCCAGAGACAGTTTCTAAAACAAAACTGAACAAAATATTAAACATCCCTTGGTTAATAAAAGCAATGAAATAAGCAATACTAATGAATCTTAAAACATGTCACTTAAGAACATCCTAAGTAAACAACACAGCTACAAATATTGCGACCTCTAAGTAGTGAACGTGTGAATGTCCACCTAATGCACACAGGTGCGTGTGCCCTCACACACACTTGCACAGAGCAGTCAATGGGAAACATGCTAATAAATGTTGACAAAACTGTTTACATGTAGCTGTCCCAAATACCAGGTGCAAGAGTTAAAAGCAATCCTGTACACAATAGCACCAAAAATGTACAATACATAGGCATAATCTGCAAGCGAGTTGTGAGAGCTGTATGGAGAATAGTAAAAGTGAGCGACACAGGGATGACTTGAACAAGTACAGACAGTCCCAGCTTAGTGGATTGCAAGACTGTCGCTATACAGAGACAAACGCGTGTTCAAGTTTTGGATCAGAAGCGAGTCCGCTGAAAATCAGTGGAAGGGAAGGGAAAATACTGGGAAGGAAGCTTGGACCAACACCACAGATTTACAGTCCAGAAACAGACCACTTTTGCACATTAGTTTTTTTTTTTTTTTTTTTTTTTTTTTTAAACAGGGACTGTGGAGGCTCTCACGAGGAGAGTCAGGGCATGTTTCCAGGGTATTTGTGGCCCCAGTCACTGCTCCTTTTCGGCGGGACAGGCAAGGGCTGCCTCGGTGGATGCGTTCAGCGAGGTCTTGTGCTCCTTGGTGGCCTCCTCCTCCTGATCGCCACAGTCGACCTCCTCGACGACCACGCTGCGCACGGTGCCGGCGTCCAGGCAGTGCGGGGCGACGCCGTACACCCGGGGGTCAGAGACGACTGAGTGGAAACTCTGCACCCCGCATCTGCTGCAGAAGCTGTGCAGCGCCGGGTGAGTGTTGGATAGATAGGTGACCAAGCTCTCCGCACCCTGGAGCAGCGTGAAGCGCGAGGCCGGTACCAGGAAGTGGCGGTGCTGCTTCTTCGTACACAGCCTGCAGCTGCAATCCAGCACGCGCAGATCTGCTGGGGCCCAGGCCGCAAAGCGGACCGCGCCGCAGTGACAACCCCCAGTGTGATACACCAGGCCTGGATACTCGAAGGTGTCCAGCAGGACCTTGGCGGCGCCCTCGCAGCTGAGGCCCCGCAGCCTCCTGAACTTCTCCCAGCGCTCGCGCTGTGCGCCCAGGTCCAGCTCCTGGGGGGACGCGGCGGGGGCCCGGTTCCGGGATGGCCCTGGGGGCAGCGCATCTCTGGGGCCCGCATGTCGGACCCGCCGCCACCAGCGCTTCCGCCGCGACCTTCCCCGCCACCTTCTGGCAGCTGCCAGCTCCTTCCCGGCCGCGTGGCTCCCAACCCCGACTTGGACAGGGGGGCACCGCTCACGGCTGGCGCCCATGACCGCGATGGCTGCGAAGGCGGCGGCAGGATCCCCAGGCCGCTTTCGCCTCCGCCGCTGAGCACTGGATCGGTTCTTCACTCTGCCCATGGTGCCAGCAGCCTTCTGAGCGTGTGCCCCCCGCCCCTCATTTCCTACTTAGTCACTGAGCAGCCTCCTTGTCTGCACCAGCAGGATTGGCCACTTGTTGAATGTGATGCAAAGAGACCCTTCCCTTGACCCTATCAAAACAGCCTTTGCTGGCCCCAGATTCTGTCTGAGCCTATCAGCTGCCCCTTCTCCTGAATGCTATTTTCCATCGTCGATTCAGATCGGCAGCCTAACACTAAAATATTGAAATACTGAAAATGCTGCAAACCTCTTGTTAGCATGCAGCAGAAGATACAGTCCACAAAAAGCATTATTCGACTACTATAGAAGAGACAGGTAGAGACATACACATAGTCTTTCAGCGGTGAGAGTAGTGTGTAAGCAGTTTTACCAAAGTTGGGGGGAGTAAAGACAACGGCCCACAATAATATGTTGCATCAGTGGACTCAACCAGAGAAAATGAATGTTAACACCAATACAGACCAAAAAATCACCTGTTTAAATTCATACTCTACGGATAGGAGGTAAAAGAAGCAGCAATACATTGATTTGTCCATCAGTTCAAAAAGCTAATTAACAGCTCTGGAAGTCTGAATATGAATCGGAAATTTTGCTCTTTGAGGATTGGTTGGTTTGATTGTTTGGGCGTGGCCACAGGAGAGACCCCAAGAATGAGCACAGATCCTCCTTTCTGAGGTGTACTCAGTGCCTAGGAAAACAATGAGAAGCCTTACAAAACCACCTCCTGAATTAAGTAGTGGTGTCTACACACAGGCTGTAGACAGAGATGTTCAAATCCACTCAACCTGGATTCAATAATTTTTAACAGTTTGTTATATCTATATGCATGCATATGTGTATATATTTTTTGAAAACGTTTTTTAAGTAAGATACAGACATTAATGCCATCTTGTCTCAATATTTCAGCATTCACATCCTAGGAAACAAGAAATATTCTTTCACAATACTATTGTTATACCTACAAATCAATGATTTCATAATGTTGTCTAACTCCCAGTTGATACTTAAATTTCCCAAATTGTTTCCTAAATATGTTTTACAAAATGACCCCTCAACCACCACAGAAGTTAGCTAAAATTGACAAAGCAAATTGGGTTGACATGTCTTTTGAAGTCTTTTGTCTAGAACAAACTCACTATTTTTTAATTGACCAAGCCAATTATCTGCTGATTTTGTCTGATTGCTGCCTTGTGATGTCATTAGATTATTTTTCTATCTAATATGTTTCCTGTGAACAAAAGTTCTCCGAAATGGAATATGGAGAGAAGAGACTATCCCAGCAAACAGTTTGCAAATGGATAGTCACAGCCTCAGTGTAAAAGCAAGGTGCCTTCCAGAGAACAACTGGAAGGTTCAGTTTTGGGGGGGGGAGGGGTTGCAGTTTTTGGCCAGGGCTGGGTTTGAACCCACCACCTCCGGCATATGTGGTCAGTGCTCTACTCCTTGCAGATTTTACAGCAAATGTTTTCACCCAAATTCCAAATCGAGTCCACAAATAAGGACTGAAACTTTAGTTCCGACTGGTCAATCCAACTGAGTTCTGATTGGTTGATATAGCCAAGCCCTGATTGGTAGATACAGCTGAGACATGATTGGTTGGTTCAAATGAGCTGTGAAAGTCCCAAAGTTAAAAAGGTTCCAGTTTTCAAGGAACTCAGAGTATGTGTATGACTTCTAATCAACAAATAGATACTTGGCTCTATTTTAAATTTAGGCCCAGTTAACCACTTAGGATTCATCTTGAAGGACTGGCTTTTTAGGGTTCACATCTATTCACATTCCTATATAACTGAAAGTAAGGTCTAAACTTAGGTGCTAAAGGCTTGATTACAATCAAGTTACACATTTTGGCAAGTATGCATCCAGATGATGTTGCATACTTTATAGGGTCATGATTCCCAGTTATCCCAGTAGTAATAATACTAAATAGTATCTCTTCATTGACATGGTAATTGTTATATTTCTCCTTTGTGAAAACGTGGTTTTATAACCCTTTGCAATAAGCTGGTAATCTGAAGGAGTTATTTGGACATCATGTGACTAACTTGTTCCTTTCTAAACTTTAACTTAGTAGTTTTAGAAGCTGTTAGTAATCATTGAACCAATTATCTCATTGTTGTAGGTTACAAATTGATGATTTTTTAAATTCTAAATTTCCTTCTTTTATTAGCTGGTGGTCATCCATAAAGACAAGCTTTCTTACATGAACTTTGAATGTACTATTGTTTCTCCCTTAAAACCAGAGTATATGCTTAATTCTTTACCTTTAATTATCAGTTTTCTGAGTAAAGAGTTGGAGTAATAGAAATCGCCAGTTATGAAAAATAATCCTCCATCTTTCACTCTGGGTATAGTTTTGGGCTCATAGATTTTTACTCATTCAATAATTTAAAGTCAATTTCTTTCTTTTTTTCTTTTTTAGAGACAGAGTTTCACTTTATCACTCTGGTAGAGTGCTGTGGCATCACAGCTCACAGCAATCTCCAACTCCTGGGCTTAGGTGATTCTCTTGTCTCAGCCTCCCGAGTAGCTGGGACTACAGGCTTACACCAAAATGCCTGGCTATTTTTGTTGTTGTTGTTGTTGTTGTTTCAGTTTGGCCCCAGGCGGATTCAAACTCGCCACCCTCAGTATACAGATCTGGTGCCATACCCACTGAGCCACAGGCACTGCCCCCATTTTTTTTTTAAGTTCAAAATGTCCAGACTTTGGTCCATGAGATTTCTATCAAACTGATTCCCATGTCCTTTTGCATTTTTCTATTAATCTTTGAGCACTTACTTGTTTTCTGGAACATGCCTCAGGTTCTCCTTGTACTTTTGCTATCCCTGGAATCACATATTTCTCCAAACATCTCAGACTCCTTTTAGTAGAGCATGGTATTTAGATCTTAGCTGTGCTGTGAAAATTTGTAAAGATCATTAAGTAAATTATTTTCAAAAGAAGTTCAAAGCACACTAAGTATATTATTTTTTTATTCTTTTTTTATCAACATAACTGAAGTGTGGCATGGGAGTTTAACTGTAGGTTCAAGTGTACCATGAGATAAAAAAGGTTGAGAAACAATGGTCTAAATCTTTGGCCCTAAATCACAAAGTTTTCTAATTTTTTTCCCTTATAGTGTTAAAGTTATCCACTTTGAGTTAATTTTTTTAAGGCATTGGGTTTAGATCAAGACTTTCTCTCCTTTTTCCAATTGCCTCACAATTTACTGAAAACATTACCTTTCTTCCATTGAATTGCTCTTGCATCACTGGCAAAAATCAATTGAGCATATCTCTGTGAGTCTATTTCTGGGTTCTCTATTCTTTTCCACTGATCTACGTGTCTATACCTGCACCAGTACTACATTTTCCTGAGCACTGTAGATCTATGCTAAGCCTTAGTATCAGATAGAGTAATTCCTCACGTTTTGCTCTTTTTCAAGACTTTTTAAACTGTTCTAGGGCCTGTGCCTTCTCATTCAAATTTTAAATAAGCTGTCTGTATCTCCAAAAACCTTCCTGGGATTTAGGTAGAAATTGAATTAAATATATAGATCAAATTGTGGACAATTGACATCTTTACTATGTTGAGTCTTCCAATCCCTGAACAAAACATACCTCTTCATTTACTTAGTTCTTCTTGATTATTTTTATTAGTATATTGTAACATTCAGCATACAAATACTGCATATGTTTTGTTCAGGATATACTTATGTGTCTTGATCTACTCAGGCTGCCCCACAACAAAATACCATACAACAGATAGCTTAAACAATTGAAATTTATTTTTTTTCAGAGTTCTGGAGGCTGGAAATCAGAGACCAGCAGGGTCCAGTTTGGGTGAGCTCTCTTGTGCTCACATGGCCTTTCCTTGGTGCGCACAGAGAGAGAAAGAAAGGCGGAGAGAGTTCTTCATCTTCTGTTATCGGGCCACCAATCCTATCTGATTATGACCCCATCATTATGATCTCATTTAACTTTAATTACCTCCTAAAAGTTCTATCTCTAAATACAGTTGTATTAGGGGTTAGCTAAGCTTCAACATATGAATTTGGTGAAGAGGGGACACAATTCAGTACATAGCACTAAATAATTTTTATTTGAATAATTATAAATGATGTTGTGTTTTTAATTTGCTTTTTTCATGTTTGCTATTAATAAACATAGGGTTGATTTTAATGTGTTGATTTTTATCCTGTGACCTTGCTGAACTCACTTACTAGAATTTTTTTGTATTAACACTGGAACTTTTGGGTAGATTCATTGAAAGTTTACACATAGACAATCATGTCATCTGCCAGTAGAGATAGTTTTTTTTTTTTTTTAATCATAAACCTTTTTTTCTTTATCTTTATTCCACTGGCTAGAACTTCTGGTATTACATTGAGTAAAAGTGGTGAGAACATAAATCCTTGCCCTGTTCTGACTCCTACTGGTAAAGAATTTAGTCTTTCATCATTAAATATGCTAGCAGTAGTATTTTTGTAGCTATTCTTTATTAAGTTTAGGGAAGTCCTTCTATTCTTACCTTGCTGAGAGTTTTTTTTTTTTTTAAATCATGAATGGGTTTGCCCTTTGTCAAATGCATTTCTACATCAACTGATACTATTTATTTATTTATTTATCATTATTATTTCCTTTTCAACATGATGAATTACACTGATTCACTTTGAATATTGATCCAGTAACCTGGCAAACCTCAAATCAATTCTCCTTTGTTATTGTGTATAATTCTTTTCATCATTTTAAGGGTTCAGTTTTCTAATGTTTGTTGAAGGCCTTTGCATCTAGAAAGATGTTACCCTATAGCTTTCTCTTTGCACTGAGTTTGTCTAGTTTTGATATCACGATAATAATACTGGCCTCATAAAATGCATTAGGGAGTTTTTTTTCATTTCTGTTTTCTGGAAGAGATTGTGTAAAGATGATGTTAATTTTTCAAAAGATTCATAATATTTAAATAATAATTCTTCATATTTCAGTGAATGTTTATAATAAGATAAT